TCAATGCCAGCCAGTGATAGAGCTGCCCAAGGCCATGGGAGTCCATCCATGCAATGGTGTGCCCTGGGTGTGAGACATGGAGTCAAAGGAGATCATTTTGGAGCCTTAAGATTTAATGACTGTACCACTGGATTTCAGACTTGCATGGGGCCTATAGCCCCTTTGTTTTGGCCAATTTCTCCCATCTGGAATGAGTGTATTTACCTAGTGCCTGTACCCCTTAAAAGGAAATAACTTGTTTTTTATTTTATCAGCTCATAGGTGGAAGAGACTTGCCTTGTCTCAGATGAGACTTTGGACTTGGACTTCTGGGAGACATTTCTTACTGGAATGACTTAAAACTTTAGGGTACTCTTGGGAAGGCATCATTGGTTTTGAAATGTAAAAAGGACATGAGATTGGGGAGGGGCCAGAGGTAGAATTATATGGTTTGGCTCTGCATCTCTATCCAAATCTCATCTCTGATTGTGACTTCCATAATCCCCACTTGTCCAGGGAGGAACCTGGTAGAAGGTGACTGGATGATAAGGGCAGTTTCCCTCATGCTGTTCTTGTGACAGTGAGTTCTCATGAGATCTGATGGCTTTTTAAGTGTTCAGCTATTCCTCCTCCATGCACTCTCACTCACCTGCCACCTTGTAAGATGTGCCTGCTTTCCCTTCTGCCATGATTGTAAGTTTCCTGAGGCCTCCCAGCCACACAGAACTGTGAGTCAATTAAATCTCCTTTGCTTATAAATTACCCAGTCTCAGGTAGTGTGACAATGGACTCACACACTACCCTACAGAAAAAGACTCAAGGAATGGAATTTCTGTAATGATGACGATCTTTTTAAAGTTCCTTTGCAAACTGCTATGACACACTCCAACCAATCTGCTTGCCTTTTCCCAAAATTACTCCCATGAGTCCAAATTCGAAGTACTTTCTACGTGGAATGCCATTTCTTCCTCACCTCCATGCCTCCAAACCCCATTCTACTATTTGATGTACAGGCAAATGGCAAATGGTCAGTTCTCCCAACACCTCTTCCTTTCCTGCTGCTGTGGGAATCAGTATCTGCCCTTTTCACACCTAGTTTCTGTGTCTCCAGGGGCATTAATCCTCCTACCAGTGTGGCTCTTGCCACCAGCTGGATGGGCCTGATAAGCTTCCTGGTGCAATGTGATGGGCTCAAGTTTTAGCGCTCCCCAAAAGACTGGCTCTGTGACATTGGATAAGCATCTATTTCCTCATATCCAGCTCTGAATGAGGAATCTGATATTATAGAACTGCTCTGAAGATTTAAGGAGCTCACCTGGGAAGTGTCCAGCATTAGTTGGCTTTTGTTTCCCTTCCTCAACATCTCTTCTTACTCCAATCACACAATATTGGAGGGTCAAAGAATATCAAGGGCCAGCTGACTGGCCAAGTGGGCTTGATAAATAGGTATCTTTTAAATCAACGTTTATAAACCTGTTTACTAAGTCTCTAACTTACCTTGCCTTGATCCAAAAAAGAGGCAATTTCTGAGTCGACAGTATCCAGTTTTCCTTTAAAACTGCATATATACCCCAAAACCTAAAAAGCAATAATATATATATTAAAAAAAAAAAACTTCTACAGTGAGAAGATCAGTCCCCTGATCACAATGAAAGCAGTGAGATGCCCAACCAGGAAGCTACCTACACACGAATCTTTTAGGGGGTTTAGTACCACTCCGTTCCCCCCAAAAATCAACTCAGCTACAAGATGTAACTTAAACTCCTCTGGTTGTGACCACTGGAATACAGAAGGCCTGCATTTTTGGGTCTCAGCTCCATGTATAACAATGAGGGAGCCTAGGCTCGCAGGGACTCAGTTTCTCCTTCAGCAAGTGAGGATGTTGGATAGGAAGATATCTCAGCTTGCCTTACAACTTGAAATCTGTGGGAAACCACAGTGCTTTCTCTCCATTGCCTTAAGTCTTAGGCATGTGTTAATTAGCTCCCAGTGTGGTGTTTGCTGTCATGCTAAGAGCAACCCACGAAGAGCATCAGACCAGTGGTGTTGCCTTCCATCAGCAGAGGCCACGCTGGAACCATCTGCTCAGCCCAGAGCTGCTTGTGGGACTCAGGCCACAGCAGCAGGGAGCTTTCTCTGAACAAGAGCGTCAGTGAAGAGGAAAGGCAAAATGGGAGGTTGTTTCCTCTCGACTAATTTGGTGCCTTTGTTTTGTCTGTGGTTCACACAGAGCCACTAAATTAATTCCCCAAGATGGCAGTAATGATGATGAATTTGGTTTTATGGTCTAATTCTTTGGTAGTCTCTGTAGAGAAATGATAGAGACCTAGTCTCTACTGAATGAGAGATGACCAATACCTGATTTGCTAGTCTTTCCTAACAAATTTGTCTATTTTGAGCTGAAATCAATTAAGAATCTCATACTCGCCAGAAAGAAAACTAACTCTGGCTGGGCACGGTGGCTCACACCTGTAATCCTAGCACTTTGGGAGGCTAAGGCGGGTGGATCACAAGGTCAGGAGTTCAAGACCAGACTGGCCAACATGGCAAAACCCCGTCTCTACTAAAAAAAATACAAAAATTACCTGGATATGGTGGCTTGTGCCCGTAATCCCAGCTACTTGGGAGGCTGAGGTAGGAGAATTGCTTGAACCGGGACCCAGGAGGTGGAGGTTGCAGTGAGCCGAGATAGCACCACTGTACTCCAGCCTGGGCTACAGAGCGAGATTCCATCTCAAAAAAAAAAAAAAAAAAAAAAAAAAAGAGAGAGAAGACTAACTCTTCAAAATCTGGACAAGCAGATTTTTGTGTTTCTGTAGTTACTTTTGACTTCTGGCTAAAGTTGTAGCGCTGAAGCTACTAACTCTATGTGACCATTTGTCTATAACGATAAAGGCCTTGACTTCTCCTTGTAGGTATATGAAATGTTTCCATACTATGAAATGGCATTAATAAATTAGATTATAATGTTTCTAAAATTTCAGGAGGGTCTGTTCTGGTTAGTTTATAAAGATAAATACTTACATAAAGAGAATATTTCTAAAGGTTTTAGAAAATAAAACATTGAATTTATGATACTTCAATATTTCAGACTAGACTTTTAAAAAATCCTTCTTTCTAGGCAGAACTTCCTAGTAAGGTGTAACTTCTATTGGTTTTGCACTTTTCTTATTATCATAATTTATTATGATTTTATAATTCTGTAAGAGCTATAAGCATAAAAACATATTTTGTTCTATATTTGTACATATTTAAATAAAGCAAAAATAATTTTTTAAAAGATATGAAACCAAATATAAAACCTTCTTTCACAAATTGTTCACTCAAACATTTTAAGAAACCAAGTTCACATAATTAAGGTAAATTTTGGCAAATCATACTAGGTTGAGAAAAACTATGCCTTTTCTCTGATTCGTGAGTGTTAAGTATAATACAACAGTATGTATTATTTTACTTGAGTTTGTTTTCTCAAGAACAAAATAATTTTTTAAATCTTCTAAACAGGTACAGCTTTACTAATCAAATAAGCTAACAACTACTAATTTACTAAACAAACTCCTTCATTATATTTAAGATTATGAAAATTATAAATTTGTGTTCAACTAAATTGAATCATTCTGACAAACAATTCATATCAACAGCAATTACTCTTAAAAGTGAACCAGTTTAAACATAATTTCCAACATCTTTAGTTAAATTAAAACCTAGGCAAATATTAGAGTGAGTGAATTAATGGGTTTTAGATACCCAGATATCTTCTGTTAAATAAGATAGAATAAGACAACATTGATTACTAGGCATAAAGTTTATGAACTTCTGTCTCTTATCTTTACATGCTAGACAGCTATATCTTTGGAGCATATTAACAAACACGTTCATTTTGAAATGTAAATGTCTAGATGAAGAAAATTGTGTTATGTGTATCACAAGCTTTGTTAGTCTGCTAAAATGCTTGTATATGACAGACAGTTTTCAATTATCTACCCCAAAATTTTCTCTGTGAAATAGAAGTTACTTCAGTTAAAAGTCATAATATGAATGATTAAGACTATACGTATTAGCCAATTTTTACATTGCTGATAAAGACATACCCAAGACTGGGCAATTTACAAAAGAAAGAGGCTTGATGGACTTATAGTTCCACGTGGCTGGGGAGTCCTCACAATCATGGTGGAAGGCAAAAAAAAGGCACTTCTTACATGGTGGCTGCAAGAGAGGGACTGAGAATCAAGCGAAACAGGTTTCCCTTATGAAACCATCAGATCTCGTGAGACTTCCAGATCACGAGAACAATATGGGAGAAACCACCATCATGATTCGATTATCTTTGACCACGTCCCTCCCACAACACGTGGGAATTATGAGCATACAATTCAAGGTGAGATTTGGGTAGGGTCACAGCCAAATCATAACCCTTTACTAGGAGCCCAAAGAAATACAAGGGCCTATGTGCCTTTTTTTCTTCAAGCAAACCTGTTCCAGAATATGAAGGTAAATGAAAGACAAAACATGAGAAGTGAATTTTATTTTCCTTAGTTTATAATGCCTGAATCTAAAAAGAGAACATAAAACATGTTAACATTTTGGCAGAGTTTACTCCATTTTGAAGGGCGAGGTTCCTTGTTTACTGACCAATTTCTTTACCTACAATATGAAAGAATATTCTTTACTTTCTGTGTAATCATCCTAGACAGAAAATATTCAGAATAATTTTCTGATTAGAAGTAACTATCAGTAATTATCAATTATCAATAATTAACAATTCTCTGTGTCTTTTGTCAATTTTATTGTACTCCTATTATTCAAAAAACAAAAAAGAACAAAGGTTCATCCCTTGTAAAAGCTAAATTTCCTTTCAAGTCTGTTATTTTTAAATCTTTTATAGTCACTTGGAGAAACTATTATTTTCAGACACCTATCTTAATCAAGTATTTAAATCATCTCTAACACATCTTTAGATTTTGTCTTCCCTAGATTGAATCTTAATTTTAAAGTAAAACAAAATAAAATGGATAGTGTTTTTCTATACCTATCTTTGAAAATTCCCAGTAAATCACTGGAAAGGGCCATTACAAAATTTGTTATTTTACCTTCTAAAAAGAGATGCTAAAAATAAGTTTGTTCATGAGTCATGCTCTTTGACTAGATTAATGATCATAAGAGAGGCATTTGAAAAGTTGTCAGTTCACAAGGGCTGCTCCACCTCCTGCACCTAAGACAAGCCCCCTGACAGGGCCCCACCCCATGGTTTGGATAACCTTGAAAATGGCCTGGTTTCTGGCTTCTTTCTTAGAGCGTCTATGGGCTGAGAGGGCTTAGTTAGGAGTCCAAAGGATTTGTGGGAGGAAAGAGGTCAGTGACTGAAGAGAGCACAGGGAAGAAATTTCTCTCAAATATTTTCTCTCCTTTCTGTGTTCACAGGCCCACCAGTGTCTAAATGTTTCCTTCTCCATGTAACCAGAGTGACCTTTCTAAGCCACAGAGAAGCTAAACTGATAAGATGGATGAGTGAGTGGGTAGGTGGATTGATGGATGGATGGATGGATGGATAGATAGATAGATAGATAGATACATACATACATACATACATACATACATACATACATACATACATACATACATAGGCTGGCAGAGAGATGGACAGATTGTTACAGGGATTTGATCTTCCCCAGCTGTATGCAGCACCTATAACACTATTGTCTTCGAGTCTGAGTCTGATGTTTGAGTCTTTGTGTCTGAGTCTGATTTGAAATCTTCAGGGCAGTATTTCAGGAAGAGAAGATGAATGTAATAGAGGGAGAGCAAGGACAAGCTGGGACCCACAGAATGGGCTGAAACCTCTGTCAGCCCTGAGGTCCTGCAGCAGCTGGCCTTGGGCCATGAGGAGAATTCAACTGTTCTTGCACAGCGTAAGAGAATTTACAGGTTTCTCAGGGTTTTTTCTATCACATTTTGGGCTATGATTTTTCTCCTAGTCTGATTTATCCCCAAATTTATCTAAGGGTTCCATCAAGCAGGCACCCCCCAACTCAGCCTGAAGAGACAGTTCACAAGGGCCTAAACTTCTTACTTCCTCTCTGACTATTCGCTCCTGGCATCAGCCCATGGGATTTCTGTCTAGTGTGTGTTTACAGAAGAAAAATATCTGCTTGGCAAACAATCTTCCAAAATGTTTCAGCCACACTCCAGGGTAGTGGCTTTCTAATCTTTAAAATGAAGCATGCAACATATTTTTTCCCTCTGGCCCCACCACACTCATCACCTTGACTGTGGGCTCATCTCGGGCTACTGGGCAGAGGGCTGAAGACTGGGAGGAGGACACTGGGAGGCAGACAGGCCTGGAGGAACAAATGGGAGAAGGAGGTACGCATGAGTTAACTTTCCTGACATCTCCCCCCACCAACACACAAATATTCCTAAATAGAGGACTAATCGAGCAGTAATTTCAACAAATAGCTTACTCCTTTCCAGTAAAGAAAGAAACCTCTTCCCAACATTCCTGCTGCACACACTGCATTCAAATCAGCTGAGACATTGTCCCTGACTTTGAAAATTGTGTGTGGCCACCGTTGTTAGCAGAGGGACCAGCCATGGCCCCCGAGCATCCCTGCACATTCTTGCTGGCTGGGCCAAGATGCACAGCCCTGACTGTTCTTTACTTGGGATATTTCTCAGAGACATCTCTCTGCTCAGACAAAAAGCAGGCTTTCTTTCCCTCCCTATAAAAATGATATGTCCTCCAAGCTCAGTGCCCATGCTGTCATCCAGCCCACTACCTGTGTGGGTACCCATCAAGGCACACCCATATCACTTCCCCCGATCCTCATGGGACTTCAGGTCATGGAGAACTGGCATGAACAGGAAACTGGCTACAGATTTCCCTGTGAGCAATAAAGTTCATTGTCCCTGTCCCGAATAGGACAGAAGGGTAAAATCTCAGACCACCGACAGTTGTTTTCAACAGCGGTCTCCCAATACCTTCACCAAAAGAGCGCATCAATCACCTTAAGCACCGTATGTGTGTCTTATATCCATCAATGACCTCAACAAAGACTCTGCTAAGTGACATATAGAAAAGGAAGAGCTATTGGTGATTTTGAAAAAGAAAAAAGCCAGTGTAGAAATGCTTTGTCCACCAACCACCAGCTGGACTTGCCTGACACCTGTACTTAGAAACTCAAAAGCACTATGGCCACGACACCAATCACCTGACCATTCGTGGGTCCCCGGCTGTGGTTTTGGTGCGAGGCAGAAAGCCTCTGCCAATCCAATCCAGCTTCTTAGCCCACTGCTAGCAAATGCTCACCATTCCCAAGCTCCTTGCAGCCTTTTCAGACAAGTTTTCAAACCTAATTAAGCTTAGCATTATCATTGTTTTTATCACATTAAGTTCCCACTTGGCCCTCAGCAGCAGAGACCACAAAGTCAGCACTGCATCTTTAAACAGAAACAACAGATTTTGGTTCAATTAAAAATTCATTAAAATGCAAATTAGTTTGTAAATTTTTTTCCCTCCTTCTGATGATTCCTCAACATGGCTTTTTAATCATAGCTGGCGCTGAAGGAGAGGTGAAAACCTGTGGATAGGAAGGAACACAGAGGGAGAGCCGGAACTCCAAACTCCGGTGCTTTGGGGCACATGCTTCTCCGAAAACCTTAACCCCTTCCCTTCCCCTTCATAACTCCATTTCCTCCCCAGAGAGGATAGTGTCAGTCTCATTCTTTCTAGGTGCTTGACTGATAAATGCAATCATCTTTTCTGATCTCAATCTCACTGAACAATGCGATCTTAAGGGAAACAGCAGGATAAATGAATAATTAACCTTCTCTACGTACATTCCCTAGCCATTCTGTAATACTCTGATAATGCTTTCATGATGATTTCTCCAGTAACAGGGCAGTGAAATTTGACTAGTGGCTCCTGCAATGACTAAAAATGACAGTTAACACCCCAAGGGTTTAGCCAGGTAATCTCTTGGCCAAATTTTTCAAAATGACAGAGGCCAAAGAGAAACATCCATAGACTAATAACAATGTTGGCAGCATACGGGGGCTCATCCCTGTAATCCTAGCACTTTGGGAGGCCAAGGTGGGCAGATTATTTGAGGTCAGGAGTTCGAGACCAGCCTGGCCAACATGGTGAAACCCCATCTCTATTAAAAATACAAAAAATTAGCTGAGCATAGTGGCGCGTGCCTGTAATCCAGCTACTCGGAAGGCTGAGACGGGAGAATTGCTTGAACCTGGGGTCGGGGGAGAGACTGTAGTGAGTGGAGATTGCATCACTGCACTCCAGCCTGGGCAACAGAGCAAGACTCAGGCTCAAAAAAAAAAAAATTGTTTGCTATGCATGGAAACTGTAGGAATTTACCCTCCATTCTCTCATTGATCTACAAAGCAACTTTATAGTGAGGTCTGTACTGGTAATGCCTAGCACAGAAATGGGGAAACTGAGGTTTGGGGATTCTGAGACCCTCACCCAAAGTTACCACCATAGTTTAGTTAGTTTGACTCCCTCCAAATCTCATGCTGAAATTTGATTCCCAATATTGAAGGTGGGGCCTAGTGGGAGGTATTTGGGTCACCGAGATAAATTCCCCATGAATAAGATAAAGCTCTTTTTGGGAGTAGAGAGTGAGTTCTCACTCCATTAGTTCCCAAGAGAGCTGGTTGTTAAAAAGAGCATGACACCTCCCTCCCTTGTCTCTTGCTTCCTCTCTCACCATGTGATTACTACTCATACTCTAGCTCCTCTTCACCTGCCACCATGAGCGGACGCTTCCTGAGGCCTCACCAGTTGTAGATGCCAATGCCTGGCTTCTTCACCAGCCCTGCAGAACCATAAGCCAAATAAACCCCTTTGTATTATCAATTACCCAACCTCAGGTTTTCCTTTATAGCAACACAAATGGACTGAGACAGTCACTTAACTAGAAAGCAGTAGTCCAAACACCACATGTTCTCACTCGTAAGTGGGTGTTGAACAATGAGAACACATGGACAGAGGGAGGAGAATATCACACACTGGGGCCTATCAGGGGATGGGGAGCTAGGGGAGGGATCGCAGGGGTGGGGGTACAGGGGAGGGACAGCATTAAGAGAAAAACCTAATGTAAATGATGGGGTGATGGATGCAGCAAACCACCGTAGCACAGGTATACCTATGTAACAAGCCTGTGTGTTCTACACATGTACTCTGGAACTTAAAGTAGTTAAAAAAAAAAAAAGAGAAAGCAGTAGTCAGAGCTTGAACCCACATCCAGTGGATTCCAAAGTCAGTGCTCTTTCAATTACACTAATCCCATGACTTTGTTCCTGTGTCCCAGACCTCATTCAGCTTATTGGTTCACTGGATTGACCAGCGGTTACACTAAACTGCTTCTAAGACAGGCTGGATGTATACCCCGATGCTGGCTTTCAGGAGAACAATGCCATGCGGCCTCGGACTCAAGGAGAGATGGTCTCACCTTCCCGCTTACCGTAGAAAGCCAAACAGCTACTGCAAGTTCATTAGATGCCCCTAATTGCTGAAGACACATTCCGGAAGTATGGGAAATGCAACTTAATTGAGAACTAATTAACTTGTTAGAGTTATCTCATTATTTGCCAGTTAAATGTCTAAATATTTCTTTCTTCTAAGGAATAAAAAAATCAGTGATGAAACTGGATCTCCATATATGAGAATTCAGGAAGCAGGCCCCGGATGGACACCAGCTTTACAGGGGCATTGGCAGGGCTGGTGATCCTGAAGAGGAAGTCAAGCTGATTAACATCATTTTAAAGGAAGATGTTCAAAGGCAGAGGACAGATTTTGACTTGCAGAAGAATTCTCCATTAAATCCAGTGTGAAACAGGATTTGGCCCAGAGGCCCCAAGAGACATAACCTGGCAAGGGCTGTTCCTGCTACCCGGCTTCTCTCCAGCTGTTTAAAGTTTGTGCTTTTTATCCCTTTGTTTGCCTTTAATCTGCCCTTTTCTGTGGAAATCCAAGAAGGCCTTTCACATGACTACACATTGTCATCAGGAGTGTATCGCCAGGGCAGGGCTCGGTTTCAGCTCAGCTCCCAAGTAATCATTCACTTTTCCGCTGTTTTCAGTGGCAATGTGAGTTAACCCCCTCCTTTGCTGAGTTTCCACAATGTCTTTCAAAGGGAATTCCCGAAGGTGGAGGAGCTGAAAAGGGCTTCCCTAGCCAGCCAGGAAAGAAATGAAGGCTGAAAGAGTAAGTCCATTCAGAGGACTGCACTTTCAGCCCTGAGGTTTCCTTCTAAAGAATGTCTGTTGTCTCCTGACTTCTTAATGGTCGCCATTCTAACCGGCGTGAGATAGTATCTTGATGTGGTTTTGATTTGTATTTCTCTAATGACCAGTGATAATGAGCTTTTTTTCCTGTTTGTTGGCTGCATAAATGTCTTCTTTTGAAAAGTGTCTATTCATATCCTTCACCCACTGATGGGGTTGTTTTTTTCTTGTAAATTTAAGTTCTTTGTAGATTCTGGATAGGGGCCTGTCAAGGGGTAGGGAGCTAGGGGAGGAATAGCAGGGGTTGGGGGAATAGGGAAGGGATAGTATTAGGAGAAATACCTAATGTAGATGACGAGGTGATGGATGCAGCAAACCACCATGGCATGTGTATACCTGTGTAACCAACCTGCACGTTCTGTACACGCATCCCAGAACTTAAAGTATAATAATAATAATTAATTAAAAGAAAATTTTTTAAAAGAATGTCTGTTTAAATCATCAAAAAAAGAAAATTCCATTTATTCCTGTCAGAAACCTAAATCAGTATCTGGTCTTGGGAGGTGAAGAGAGTCGGATCCCGTTCTCACCCAAACGTGGTCCTTGGAACTGACAGGCCAGTGGGGTTGGGCTGCCTTGTTAGGGTCAGTTGGTGCTGCAGGAGGAAAGGGTGTATCTGGTTCGTCATCTTTTTGACAAGCAGGCATGGCTGCTCAAAAATGTTCTGCTTGACTCCCTCAACCTTCCAGTTTGATGGCTGTTGCTCTTTTCAGATCTTTCTGGCTTCCCGTCTGGTTGAAGAGTGTCCCAGCCACATTGTTCCCGGGGTTTCACTATTCTTCCTTCCTTGCTCACAGCCAATGTTCATCTACTTTAGGGGCTGACGGTGCTAACATTGTTGCAGTTCTGGAGAGATACTAGAATGATGAATCCATTCCCTAAAGGGAGATACTTACCTGCTCTGCCCCAAACTGAACACCCAACCTCTCAGTGCAGATATGTTTCTGTTAAAGAAACTGATGAGATTCCTTAGCTCTGGCCTTCAGAGAGACAGCAAAATAATTAATGGGAAATGATAAGTTCACCCTCTGGAATAAAAATGATAAACTACTTATTATACAGTCAGTTTAGGCTGTGGTGCATTCAGCAAACTATAAATAATGCACAGAGAGATTCTGATATGAATTTCCAATTTCTTATCATTACAGAACGAGTGTGACCCCGCCTTAGTTACTATCCCTGGAAGCTTGCCTGCCATCTGACGCATCTGGATTTGGAAATGTATTTTCCTGCCTAGCTTCTGCTAGCTTACTTCCATTGTCTCCAGCTGCCCTCCTGTTACACTTCAGTCTGTGCTGGGATACAGCCTCTTTGTACCAAGCCCTTGCTCACTCACTTCTCTTTGCAGAAAACTCTCAATCTCTGCTTATGCATTTGTTCAAAGTTCACTTTAAGTACAGAGTATTTATCAACTGTATTGCTCTGCAAAGTGCCCGCCGCCGGTGACTCATTACGGGGAATGGCTTCTCTTCCCTGCTTTGCATGGCCTCGCAGCTTTCTGTCTGTGTCTCTCTCATGTGAGCGCTCTGTTTCCTTTGGCCAGCTGCCTCCATTCTCAGCCTGCATCTTGATGATCGGTGACATATTTCAAACCCTTGGGGGTGGGGAAGTAAGTACCAGTTTGGGATTGATGTGAAAAAAGCTCCTCTATTGCATGAAAATGTAGTAACTATGTCGAAATCCTTTTGAGAGAAACAGCACCCTGGAGATAGAGGTCTAACCCAGGCTTTGGGGATGAGGATGATGAGGGCTGCAGGGAGGTCTGGTTTCTTCCAGGGAATGGTTCTCAACCCTGGCTGCCCTTTGGAATCCCTTGGGGAGCATTTACAAATTCAGACACCTCCGTCCCACCCCCAGAGATTCCCAGCTGCCTCCCAGACAATTCATCAGAATCTCTGAGAGTCTGATTCTGAATTGTCTGGGAGGCAGGTGGAATCAGACTTGTTTCCAGTTCCCCAGGGGACACTGAAACTACTGGGCTAGAAGCATGACATCGAATCAGAGTCCATAAGAAAAACTGAGATTCACATTAAGGGGAGAGCAAGTGTCAAGCTCCAGGTCGAAGGATCAGCAATGGGATTAAAGTCAAAACTCAGAGCCAAGAGTCCAGAGTGGGGCAAAAATGGGGCAAAGGGTAAAAGAAAAGCAAATCAGGCAAGAGATGCAAAGTCCAGAGTGTCTGCTGCGAGGCCCATGCCCTGATGGGCCCACCGCTTAGCCTCAAGACCAGAGGGATCGGGGCAGCGTGGCATAGTGCCTGAGGCAGGGACCACAAGGGTCTGTTACTTCCCGCTCGAGGCTATTTTATACCCTTCTTCCATCAGGAGCTAAGAGTTGAATCACACCATACCAGCGCTGGGAATACAATGATTATCGCAAGGAATACAATGATCTGAAACCACAGCGTTAGGGTTGAAAGAGATCATTTAGTCCAACCTCCTTCATTACCTCAAAATCAGATCAGGATCTGTTTCTCCTCCCCCAGTTCTTCACTATAAAGATCAAAAGATTCAAGTCAGAAGTTCATAGAGGTAAGCAGAAATGGCTTAAAATTTTAATAGGAATGTTTCAATTATCATCAACTCTCTCATTGCAGGGTGGCAGGAAATGTGGCATAATCTCTACATCAGCCTTTCTCAAACTGTAGTAAGCCTGGAAAGGGCCCAAGAAGGAGTGTGTTAGCATGCATGTTGCTTGGCCCACTCCACAGAATCTGATTCGGTAGGTCTTGGGAGGAGCCCAGGGATCTGTATTTTTAACAAGCAGGATGCCCTACAAGCCCAGGCATTCTTATACGGGTGGCTCCAAAGCCAAATTTTTAGAAATACTGGTTCTTGGTGATCTCATCATTTGTAAGCCTGGCTTGAGTCCTGGATGGAAAAGCAATTTTCAAATTGGCAGTTATCAACTCTGGCTGCACATTAGAATCATTTGGAGAGCATTTTTAAGAAACACTGATGCATGGGTGTCTTAGTCCATTTGCACGGCTATAAACAATTGCCAATGGCTGGGGAGCTTACAAACAAAAGAGATTTAATTCTCACAGTTCTGGAGGCTGGGAAGTCCAAGATCAAGGCACCAGCTGACTCAGTGTCTGCTGAGGGCCCCCTTCCTGGTTCATTGATGCCACCTTCTCACTGTCTCTTCACTTGGTAGAAGGTGGCTCTCTGAGGCATCTTTTAAAAGGACATTAACCCCATTCATGAGGGTTCCACCCTCATGACCTAATCAATTCCCAATTGTCCCACCTCCTGACACCATCACATTAGTAATTAGCTTTCAACATATGAATTTTGGGGAGACACAAACAACCAGGCCATAACACTGAACCTTAACCCAAACCAGCTGAATTAGAATCTCTTAGGGCTGAGGTCTTGTATCAGTTAGACATTGCTATAACAATGCTGCGTAACAAATATCTCAAAACTCAGTGGCTCAAAACAACAAACGTCTATTTCTCACTCATAGGTCTGTGGATGACTATGAGAATAGCTCAACTGTTCTCGCCTGACTCACCTGGGTGACTGCTCCAGATGTAGGATGGATTCAAGTCGACTTCACATATATTTCACTCTTTTTTGGACCAGGGGCCAATAAGAATACAATCTTCTCGTGGTGGATTGCTGGACTGCAAGAGACAAGACAAACAGCACATTTTAGGCTTCTGCTCACGTCATGCTTAGTAATATCCTATTGGCTAAAGCATGTTTATGTGGCCAAGCCCAAAATCAAAAGGATGGAAAAAAACCATTCTGCTCAATGGTCTAAACTATCACAGGCTCCACCCAAAACCAATTAAATCAAAATTCCTGGGATAGGGTGTGAGCAATGACAAAGCCCCCTAAAATGTACACCTAGGATAGAACCTCGTTCATCTAAAGGGTGGTTCAGGCCCCAGGCCCGTAAGTGAGCACCTAATCCTATCCGAGGAAGTTACAGTGCTATATAGTTGGAATAAAACATGAGAAGTAGGACTGTGGCAAAAGTATGATCAAATAAATGGCAGAGAAAATAAAAATCAAGCAAAGTACATTGTTTGTGCTTGTCAGCCCTTCAAATATTTGGACTCGGCCCTCACGTTCTGCACTGCTGACCCCAGCTCCTCTTCTGAACTTTTAACTCTTGGTTCCTCCAGTCATAGTCCAGGCAGAATGCTTTCAATTTTCCTCACCCTCTGGTCTGACTCTTCTCCAAATGCATTCTATATATTTTGTTGTGCACCCCTTCAACAGTGGGTCCCTCCAGCACATTCCTGCTGTGTTCATGCTGTGGTCTTAAGAGAAACAAAATCAGACAGGCTTTCCCTATGTCCTCAAGACTAAGTTCCTCTTCACACCGCCCAAGAGAAACCACTGGGAGGGGGCAGCACCTGCCCATTGGCCCATCCAGCTCAGGTGCAGCCACGCTGGCTCCTTGTCAAGATGAATCTCTCAGCCTGTTCCCTTCCCAGATCTGCCTCGGACTCCCACAGTATCCCTGGACAAAATCACTTCCTCCTCCTTTTGTCCCAATGTCTTCATCTGGAAGAAAAAAGGCAGCAGCCGGCCACATCCTTTCAGCTCTGTCGCTGGTAAGCATGGGGCTATGAAGGCGTGAGAGGCCCTCAGAGAAACACTGTTACAGTCAGGGACCCAAGGGGAACCTAGACACGTACCCAGGGGTGTTTGCCAGCAGCACTCGCATTAAATGCTCAGGCCTATGCAGCTTGAGAAAAACTGTTTTGTTGCTCCTACTAGAAAAATCCACTAACTGCATTCTCCCAACAATGGCAGTGGATAAGGAAGAGCGTTAATACTGCCAGCCCTGTGGGACGGTCTAGGATGCAGTTTCCCATCTGCCACCACATCAGGAGAACTCATGAGCCTCACTCTCTGTGGTGGAGAGCCCCACTTTTCCAGCAGCCTCCCATGGCTCCCTGCCTTCATCATCTCCCTGTGCCTGAATGCTTGGTAGTGGTTCATGGGGATCATTCATCCATCTGCCCTTACCCTGACCAGCAGCCCTGCATGACTCGGCTTGGCCCCCCGTTCTGTACTCATCTCTCCTCTCTCTCCTGCTTTACCCACCACATGGGCTTCCCGGACACCTCCAAAACATACCACATTCTTTCCTTCTTACTGGCCTTCAGGTTTGCTGTTACCTCGACCTGGAACACTCCTACTGGGGTGACCTAGCATTCCAGTTTGCCTGTAACTATCTTGATTTTAGCACTGAAAGCCCTGCTTTCTAGGAAATCACTCAGTCTAGGCAAACAGGAAGATTGATCACTCTTCAGTGTTAAATGTTCACATGGATGGCTGTCATTTCCCTCAGGCTCTGATCTATGGTATTTCCTGAAAGAGGATACCCTGATCACCTTTATAAAATACCCACCCCAGGGCCGGGCATGGTGGCTCATGCCTGTAATCCCAGCAGTTTAGGAGGACAAGGTAGGCAGATCACATGAGGTCAAGAGTTTAAGGCTAGCCTGGCCAACATGGTGAAATCCAGTCTTTACTAAAAAATACAAAAATTAGCCAGCCATGGTGGCAGGCACCTGTAATCCCAGCTACTCAGGAGGCTGAGGCAGGAGAATCGCTTGAATCCAGGAGGTGGAGGTTGCAGTGAGCCGAGATCATGCCATTGCACTCTAGCCTGGGCAACAGATCAAGACTCTGTGTTCCGCACTGCTGCACTCAGAAAATAAAATAAAACACCCACCCCCATTCTTTTCCACTTTCATCAGTTACAGAATGCTGAGCTTGCATGCATTGTATTTATTGTCTTTCTACTCTCTCTCTATCGAGATCAGGGACCTCATCTTTTTCCCTATTTAGAGCAAAGTCTGGCCCATAGAAGGCCAGGTCAAAATCTGGTTCTTTAAACCAGGTTTCGGCAAACCTAACTGGTGTCTTTTGCTCTCTTGCCACAGATTGGAGTCCAGAGGCATTGGATGCAACATCATGTTCTCCTGAAACAGTTTAGGAGGCCAACTGGTCCTCAGGTTTCAAAAGCTTGGACGTTTGCCCTCATAATTACCGGTTTACAATAGCATAAGCTACCTAAAGATGCAGTGGCCAAGGCCTCAAACAGAAGTGTATTCACTCTTTATTTTTATTTAATTATTTATTTATTATTTATTTATTTTAAGATGGAGTCTCGCTCTGTCACCCAGGCTGAAGTGTAGTGGCTTGACCTCAGCTCACTGCAACCTCCACCTCCTGGGTTCAAGCAATTCTCCTGCCTCAGCCTCCCGAGTGGCTGGGATTATAGGCACCTGCCACCACACCCGCCTAATTTTTGTACTTTTAGTAGAGACAGGGTTTCACCGTGTTCGCTGAGATGGTCTCGATCTCCTGACTTTGTGATCCACCTGCCTTGGCCTTCAAAGTGCTGGGATTAGAGGCATGAGCCATCGTGCCTGGCCACATTCGTTCTCTAAACCTGCAGCAAACTTTCATGGAGAAATGAGACCCTCTAAACAGAAACGTAAAGAGAAGAGGTACAGTATGCCCAGGAACTGGAGAGGAGCTCAGTATCATACATCGGCTTTTAAATCACGAAACAGCAACTATGAAGCACCAAGTTAATTTCTCATTTAATTCTCACATGAATAAAACTTAGATGATACTACTTCAGTTTAGAATCTGGGCCACAGAGAGGGCAGGTAAATCACATCCACTGCTAAGTGACTGTAGCTATTTGAAAATAAGTCTGACTCTGAAGCCTTTAGTCTTCCCTCAATACAAAATTGCATCCTCATTTCACTAGCTGTGCGGTCATTTTAAAATATAGTATGGCATTTCCATAGTAACTTGGAAAACAACGTGTTGTCATATTTCATAAAAAATTAGGATACAAACTTGTGTGTATACTTCACTAATATTTACATTTTTAAATTTTACATAAGAAAAAACATTATTTTGGGGGCCGCGGTGGCTCCGGCCAATTTTCCTGGTGCTTGAGGAGGCGAGGCCATGAGTTCAAGGCCAACCTGAGCAACATAACAAGCTCTCATTGATTAACAAAAAAAAAAAAGAATAAAAGAAAAAAATAAAAAACATTATTTTAAAGCAAAATGGCATCTGGTTGCATTAAATGATCAATTTTTAAGTAACTTAAAAAATAATTTTCAAATGTCTGGTACTCCTAGACTCCAAGAAAATTTACTATGTTTGTTCAAAGGCAAGTTAGCAATACCTGGTTTGCCTGTGATGAGGCAGGTGGAGAGCTTCCAAGATTCTGGATCTTTACATCTCTGGATTCTTCAGTGGCAGGAGTTGGTTCAGAGAATGCAACTGGTCTTTGAAACAAAAAGAGAGCAGAGAAAGGTTGATGGGGTTGGGGTTGGATAGTGTGTTGGCCAGCACTGAAACTAGGATGAGGAGGCAGTCACTGTCAGGGCCAAAGACCCCTGTGGTTGGACTAGGCTGAGTAAGTGACCAAGGACAGGCCACCTGCAGGCAAGAACCGCAAACCAAGATTAGTCTTGGAGGAAGCTGGGGATTGAACTCCGTGCTCAGTCCCCTTTCACTTACAAGGGAAATAGTAAGAAGTGCTTTTCCTTTTTTACAGCTGTTTTGGATCTAGTGTGTTCCCTGAGAAGCTCTTAATATGGCTTAGCCTTTAGATGTTTTGACAAGGGTATGATCAACCCAGAACAAGCGTTGTGTGCACTTTTAACAGAGTCTATTTTTCAAAGGCAAAAAATTGGTGAATAGTGAAAGAACAACTTCTCTGTAAGAGGCAATTCCTACCGTTTGGGACTTTTAAATCACTTCTTTGAAACAGAGTTGTATGGAACCCAGGATCATGGTATGATAGTGGACTTCTAGGGGTGATGGATTTACTGAGGAGGAGCTCTGTCCTGTGTTAATTCAAAGGCTGAGCAGCAACCTATGATAAGTTTAAACACCCAAAATAATCCCGCAAGGTGCTGCACATTTTGCAGGGAAATTCTCATGTGCTTCAGTGTAAGTTGCTTTACCATTGTTGTGTGATATTTTAACAGAACCACATAATGGAATCATAAGCCATTTTGGAGAGGTGTCACGGTACCCTGGAATGAACACGGGTGCTGATTTCAGATTGACATGGGTTGAAACCCTGTGCCTTCATCAGCTCAGGCTGCCATACAGTGCTGTATGGTATTCACAGACCAGGTGGCTTCAATAACAGGTATCTATTTTGCACAGGTCTAAGGACCGGAAGTTAGCGATTTTGATCGGGGCGCCAGTACATCCAGGTCCTAGTGAGGGCTCTCTTTCTGGTTTGCAGGTTGCCACCTTCTTCAAGGTGGAAAGAAAGAAAAGAAGCACGCTCTGGGGTGTCTCTTCTTATAAAGGCATGAGGGCTCCACTTCACTGACCTCAGCTAAACCCGATCACCTCCCAAAGGCCCACCTCCTAACCAAATGGAGAGCAAAAATAAGTAAATAAATAAGAAGCAGGAGTTGCAATTCTTGCATCTGATAAAATAGATTTCAAAGCAACAAAGATATAGTGGTAAAAGGATCAATGCAACAATAAGAGCTAACGATCCTAACACCCAGATATGTAAGACCCATAAAGAGATTTAGACTCAACGAGACAGAAAATCGATGAGGACAACCAGGACTTGAACTCAGATCTGGAACAAGTAAACTTAATAAATATTTATAGAGCTCTCCATTTTAAATACACAAAATATACATTCTCCACTTTAAACGCACAAAATATTGATCAGCCATTATTTATACCCATTTTTAGAATAAAGCAACATTCCCGTTCTCTCTCCCTCTTTTCCTTTTTCTTCCTCTCCTTCACTCCTTTTTTCTCTTTCCTTAAAAAAAAAAAAAAAAAAAAAAAAAAAAAAAAAAGGCCCACCTGCTAGTATAGTCACATTGAGGGTTGGGGCTTCAACACAGGAATATGCAAGGGACACAAACATCCAGTCCGCAACATCCAGCCTTGCCACTCATTATCTGGGGCTTTGTGGAGGCCACATAAGCTTTCCGAGTCTCCATTGTGTCTAAAACTGGGAGACTTATTAGGTAGCTGTCAAAGTTAAATGAGTGAAAGTACATGAAAACCATAACATAGCTGATATGGTTTGGCTCTGTGTCCTCACCCAAATCTCATCTCAAATTGTAATCCCCATAATTCCACGTGTCAAGGGAGGGACCCAGTGGGAAGTGATTGAATCATGAAGGCGGTTTCCCCCATGCTGTTCCCATGATCATGGGTGAGTTTTCATGTGATCTGATGGTTATGTAAGTGTTTGACAGTTCCTCCTTCACACGCTCTCTCTCACCCCCTGCCAAGTAAGACGTGCCTATTTCCCCTTCTCCAACAATTGTAAGTTTCCTGAGGCCTCCCCCCAGCCATGCAGAACTGTGAGTCAATTAAACCTCTTTTCTCTATAAATTTCCCAGTCTCAGGCAGTTCTTTATACCAGTGTAAGAATAGACTAATACAGTAGTACACATGGGAGGTGCTTTAGAACGGTCCCAAATATGCTTTTGGCAGCAGAACACTTTTCTTCCTAGACAGAAGCACAATCTAAACAAGAAGTAAGAGCTGAACTGCTCTGCAAAGGCAGCCTTTCCATTTGGATCATGCTTACCAGGAGCCAGGACTTTAGAGAACACCGTTTAAAAACCACCCACCTGCTGCCACTCCACTACACCTGCTGGGTGGTGCGCTCATTCTCTCTCCCAGGAGTCCTCAACATAAAACATACATCCAGTCACGTGTGAAGACACTGCCACATCTCAGGCAGGCCTGGGCTCCTCTGGGCACATCCACACCCTCAGAACAATTCCCTTTGCACCTAAACTGGCAACTTATCCCAATGCCCTATGTCCTCTCTTCAACATCGATACCATGTTCACCTCTCCAAGTATGAGCTTAGAGTGATTCCCAAGTCCCCCTTCAACAGAACCTATATATAACTCCACCCTTAAAAAATCCAAAAGATTTTTTTCACACTTGAGGTTAAAATTTTGTGACACTGGGCTGGATGATTTTTTTTTTAAAAATTTGAAAGAATGCAGCATGTGTGTTGTGGGGGTATGCGCTGTGTGTGCACACGCACATGCATGTGTACCTTCATGCACATGGATCTCAGCTTAGACAAATTTACTAGACTTAGGAGTCTTATTTTCTCTTGAGGAGTTATACGGTAGGTTAAAAAGCACATGATTTATAGTTTTTACATTCATTCGTTTCATTTCTATCCTGCCAATTCTGATGCACAGTTCCCACTAAACCTATAAGCAAAAGGATTTATTTCATCGTTTCATTTTTATTCATTGCTTTTCCTTCTCTTTCAGTGTTTCCCTAGGACTATGCCATAGGCAAAATTCCCCACAATTAGCTATGGGATTACAGTGGTGGGAACTGAAAATCTGGGAATAGGTCTCCAGGTGGATGGCACCTGCCACCTGAGTGGAAAAGGCGTGTTTCTAAGGACAGTGATGGCCTCAGTCAAAATGTTTCTAGCGAGGACAGAGGAAGCCTCACTTTCTAAAAAGTTACACCTGATTCCAGTGATTGAGTTCTAGCCCCAGGGTATTATGACCTCCTTCTTACTATCTATATTTTTGCTCAGTGGTTTGGACAAAATGCATTTCCCTTTAATCTGACGATTCTGAGATTCCTAAGTAGTCCCCATCATGAACAGGCAGTTCACAGAAGCAGCTTAGGAAACGATGTTCACTCTCATGCATAAAGAAATAATTTCTACCTAGCAGATGGCAGATCCACAAGTTTGATACTACACTATATTAGCAAGTGTGGACAAGCATTTTGACAGAAGAGTATACCGGCATAGCTCTTTGGCAACTGCCAAAACACAAAATGAACATGATCCCTGATTTAGCAATTCTACTCCCAGGACTTTATTCCAGAGCTACGGTAGCCCAAGTCAGTGTTGCTGAAGAAAAATCCCACACCTGTGCAGGCTAGAATCACTTGACATGGTAACCTCACATCTCACACAGGCTCCCCACCCTGCTCAGCAATTGCATCGCTCTTCTCAAGTGAAATGCCCTTCTCTCTCCTGGATGACCTGGTCATATCCGCCCCTTAAACTTAATTTCCTAAACTCTTCACTTCTGTCAACTGGAGACTCCTCTTCAGGCATCCTTGAGGAAGGCATGAAGACACAACTCATTTTCCCAATTGAAAAATGGTAAAGAACCTATCGCGGAGGAAAGAGAGGATGGGATTTTATGACAGCCTCAGGGCTAAATGGGTTTAAATGCCACCTACAAGTATGAGACCTTGTGCAAGTCACAGAAACTCTCTAAAATCCCATTTCTTCATTTAGATATACAAGATCCTGGTCAGGAACATGAAGAGAAGAATCTAGGATGACTCTTAGGTGTTTTGACCTAAGAAACTGCATAAATGGTGGCACCATTAACTGAGATGGCAATGGTTTAGATTAGTGGTTCCCCAAGTGTGGCTCCCAGGCCAGCAGCATGAGAAGTACCCAGCCCTGCCCCAGAACGACTAAGTCAGAAACTCGAGTGGACCCAGCGACCTGCTTTAGCATGCCTCCCGTTTCTTCCATTTCTGATGCATGGTAATAGTTGAAAAGCAGTGATTTAGAGGATATATCAGAAGTGAAGCAATTTTAGGTATTTTAGGCAGGAAGGCATTTAAGGTAATAAGTGCTTTAAAACCCTTAAAAGGAGTGGTAGAGGGAAACACAGGTCATGGGAGGGTGTCTCTGCTGGCTGGGTTCACCTCCAGCTTTCAGAAAGGTAGGAAGTTGCAGGAAATTCAGAAAACTTCTTGCAATCATTTCAGCTTCAGAGGTAGATGATTTATAGAAAAGGCCTGGAGGCCACCCCCTCATTGGCTGAGGTCCAGGAGAAACAATTATTTGGCTTCTGTTTATTTTCCTCCCTCCAGATCTCACACAGATGCTTCTTACTGGTGGGATCGAAACTGAAAACCCATAGGCAGGAGTTCTGGGAAATGTAATTGACAGATGCCCAGCCCCTGTGATCGGGGTGGAGCACAAAGGGAAGAATGGTGTTGAGTTGCATAGACAGGAAAAAAAAAATGAGGGTTATGTTTGAGGTGTAGATGACACGTTTTTGTTCAAGTGTGAGGCAGGCAGTTGGACACCTGAGTCCGAGACTCAGGGGTGAGGTTGGGGAGGAAGATCTCCGCGTGAAAGTCTTTACCACACAGATGGTATTAAAAAGCCTGCAATTACCAAGACAGCATCGTCAGAGAGAGTATGTAGCCAGAGAAGGTATCAGGAGACTCAGAACGGAGCCCTTTTTGGCCAGAGAAAGAACAAATAGTC